CGTGCAGGCCCGAACCCTTTGTTCTTATCTGCTTGAATCAGCTCATGCGGTACCCAGGGATTGAACTTGTACGTCAAGCTTATGCCATGCATAGCGCGACTAATGGACACGGCACTAACGTCTAACTTCTTAGCAAATTCTCGAGTGGTTGCATACTGATCTTCTTCCTTAACTTCTCGCAGGCGGGCCTCATCAACATCAGTTGGCCGGCCAGAGCGCTCTGCTTCTTGAATATCATAATCCTTGTTTTTGAACTTTCGGTACTAAATCTTCACAGTGTCATATGATAAATCTTTCGTATTGAAAGCTATACACATAATTTGGTGACATTCTGCAGCTGACTTTTTGCAAGAGAACTGAAAGTAAATGATGGTTCTAAACTGGTAGTGGGATAGTTCCATTTTGTACACTTTGTACTTAATGATAACGATGCTTTTTAACAAATTTCACAACACGGTGTTCTAAAGCAAATCTCTTTCTTTCAAAAGCCAAAAATCGGTTGAAAAAATATTAAATATTGTTGCGAAATGTAAAGGCGCTGTGAGATGGCTTCCCCGCAAAGCATTTTCATGGTTGCCATGAAATGGCAAGATAAGGCAGGATTGCCACATTTGGCGAGAAATCTCCCATTTGGCGACAAAATTGGCGATATGCCAAGGACTGATGGAGAACCTTCTGGAACGAATTCTTATCGGTTTAACCCAGAATGTTCTCGAACACAAGCCGAAAGCTATATAAACCCTGCTGGTTCGAAGTCAGTCAGTGAGTGTGTATCTCGTCTAGCGACTCAATCCCTGCGGAGTCGATCGAGTTGACAGCCGGGCAGTGAGTGCCGAGTGCGTCATCGAGTGCACCGAAGGAGTCTGTTAGTGTATCGCGGTTAGTGCATCGTCGAGACAGCGTGTTGAGCTCCGGGAACGATTCAACCGAAGAGTCGGGAGCTGTGCTCGTGTGTCGTCGAGTGCATAGAGAGTTGTAGCGTGGAGAGTTTCGAGAGTACGTGGAGTTCCCAGAACGATCAAGCAGAGTCGGGAGTGTACTCCGGAAAGCAGAGTCGGGAGCTTTGCAGGAAGCTGTCTCCACCGTGATAGCCTGATAACCTGAAGGCTCTGTCGCTGATCCAGTCAGCATGTTTATAGTAGTTCATCGACGACTGTAAAACGTGTTTTGGAGCTGTCCTGACAATACTGGCTAATAAAGTGTGTTTCGATGCTTCATCAAGTCTCGTCGTTATTCACTCCAAATCTACAAACCCCGTACGAACGTGAAGGAAGAAAATAACGTAACAACTGGTGTCAGAAGAGAAAACCGTAACAATATTAAACGCACCAACGTGGACTGTTTGCGGAGACGATATTTGCAGTGGCGGGAAACTTTCGTTAAAATCCGATATTTCTTTCTTTTGTTTCACAATACAATAATGAGTATGATTAATTACATTTTGGTCTACGATTTTTAGATATTTCACTGTGTTGAGTAATAAGCACATAAAAATCAGTTCTTATATTTAATTTACTGGAAAAGTCATCCTATTCGGTTAGAGAAATTAACGAATTTTCGGTGGAAACAATGGTAAAACGTTTTTAAAAAATATATATTATGCAATTTATATTTCAAGTATTTATGATTTGAAATGATAGATCGTTGTAAAAATCCTTAATTTTCGTAAAACAAAAAACTGTAATCTGTGTGTCTCGATGTGCTTCCTTATTTGCGACTCCCATTAGTAAATAAAAACAGGTAAGTCTCATGAAACTTCCTCTTACATTTCAAACTCGCCAATTTTCTTAAGAGTATTTCCTTGATATTGGCCTTGAAATCATCAAGTATACGTTATTTTGATGATTATTATTTATGAATTTGATGCTTAAGATTTAATCTGATTTTCCTTGTATATGTCTTATCAAAATGACAGATAATGAAGCTGCTAAAAATAAAAAAGTTGTCAGATCTTCAGCGTTTTGTTTTTTCCCTGTTTTAGAATGGGGAATTCTTGCGTATTCTTGAGTTTAACGTAAGGAAAGTAAGAAATTTAATCTGTAATATGAGCGCATGATAAAATTCCAGCTAGTTAAACAATACATATTCACGTATTACGAATTATTTCATGCTTTCGTGGTGCAGTTCGTTAGCAACATTTAATCCGTGGTTCGAATCCGGCAAGCTGATTTTTTCTGGAGCCTAACAGTGTCTACAGCGTAACATGTTAGAAAAGCGTCCTTTAATTCCAACGAAGCTTCAGATATTTTCACAAATAATCGTTTGGATGTATCATAAATTTCAAGCATTTAATTCCTATTAATTTTATATTTAACACGTTATTTTAATGGTAAAAATTTTTTAATTGCTAAAAATGTTATTATTGCTTTTAAATCTCTGAGTTAGTTAACTAATAATAGATTTATTACGCTTTAAATATAAATTAAAGATTTTTTTATTTTTGTCGTTCGCTTTTTGATCAGCTCAAATCTGTCCATTCGGGCTGTCTTGTTAGTTGACAGAAACTTGTTTTCAGAGTAATGGATAATCGAATTTCCACAATAATTTCTTAGTGAATGTCATAGAATTACCTGAAAAGTAAAAAGCCGGAAGTGGAAAAACTGAAACAACAAGTTTTCTTTTGCTATTACGCGAAAGAGAAACGAATCCGAAATAAAAAAGAAACCCACAAATGAAACGGGGTCGTCAAGCAATGGGGTCAATCTTTCGCCTCATTTCGTCACGTGATCTTTGGCTTGTGGTGTGTGTCTCATGTAATCTTGCAAGTGAACAAGCAGATACTGAATTCAGTTGCATTGACGTCATCCAATAAAATCACGATCGACTATAATCTGTGGAAAACTTTCATAGGATGAAAATTATCTTTACCCCTCTCCTTTTTAATTATATATTATCGTAATACGCGTCTTGTCGTATTAAGCGTTTTCTTTAATGCCTTAGGTTAATTCCTTTTTTTTCCCCACAGAACTTTATATCCATCTATAACTGTAATTTAAACTCATTTGAAGTTTGAATACAACATTGAGAGCTGAGGTGGTTAAACATTGGAATGTGTGTGATTAATTGGAAGTCTATTATTTTGTTTTGAAAAATCTTGTTTCCTATTTGAATACTGTGAAGAGGTATCGTTCTTCTTTAGTAATTAGTTTAGTTTTCATAGTTCTGTCTAAAAAATATTAAACAATTTTTTTCTTAATTTTTGTGAATAGATTTATCACATTGTTAAACTTGGGTGACTAGGCTTTAAGTTCCTTTTGTTCTTCTAGGTGTGAGGGGCATTTAATTTCGTTTTAACGTTATTGAAAATTCTTTTCTAAATTTTGTTTTTTGTTATAACACATTTGTTTATATATATTTAATGTGTTACATTGTTGTTTCTAACACATGTCAAGATCGAAGGTAAAAATGAAGCTGTTGCCACTCTATACAATGTAACATCTTACACTTATTTTCCAAGATATAAAAGTATTGCTTATTATTTTAAAAAAGCAATGCTGTAATTCTTATTAATATTCTGCAGCAGACTTTATTATTACTTTTATACCATTAATATGATGATTAAAAGACATTTTTAATCCTGCACAATATGTACTTTACTCTGTAATATTCTTATTTATACATTCTCGTCAGCATCAAATATAAAACCTAATAGTAAATGCAAAATTCCGTAAGAGATATAATCCTTTTGATACATTTCTTTCCCTTTTGCTATTCATTTCTGTGTTTGACCGCCATTTTCAAAATGATACTGATATTATTTTAGTCATCATGTGAATTGGTAGTATGTTCGATATCGCAATGGATGCATTAGACTTCTTAGTGGAAGGTGGGTGATTTTAAGTCTCAGTTGTAAGCAGTGTATGATCCGGCACTCTTTAAACATGTAGCCATTTCCTATTTGCATCACAACTATAAATCGGTTTTCTTGTAGCCGAATGGTTAAAACGGCTGAATATTAAGTAGTATTTGTTTTTTGCGCAGCTATCAGCATAATTACATGATTGCCGCGTGCTTATTTTACTCCTTCTATTATCAAACCCATTTGTCAATTTTTCTATTATTAAAAAAATCCTACATGTAGTCAGTCCATCATTTCACCTAGGGAAAGTGACATTCGTGGACACTGCGATAATCAAGTTTCTGACCTTGTGTTCGCTTGCTTATGCTTTACGTTCACTACAGGCATCAACTTCTTAGAGTGTAAACCTGATCATTCTAACTTGCCATACGGCCATTCACGGTTGTAGAAAAAATTTAGGACGCTATTACGCCACTCAACCGAAGGCGAAAATAAGAGTCTGAGAGATCAGGCAATCAGAGCTTTAAGGTGGCGTACACTAACATAATAAAATTTCAAATTTTTAAGTCATTCGGGTATGAGTATTCAGGATATGAGTATCACATGACCGGTACTAGCCAATACAGTTGGATCCACAGTAGAAGCATGGTGAGTTCAATTATTTACACTTTGTACAAATAACACTAAAAGTCTTTGTCTGTCCAGGCACTAAGTCCATATTTTTAGTAGTAAACACAACCTTTTTGTTGAGACTTCAAGTCTTCTTATAGCTATATCTTTGTTGGTGGGGAGAGGCAAATGATCATCTTTCCACGGTAAGGCAACTTCGTAACGACCATCATCCTTAATTCTTAGAGTCTCTTGAAAATATTTCTTCGTGAGAAATTCCTTTTCTTTTCGTGATTTTACTTCAACGGGATCGGATATTCCTAAGATGTCTAAGGAAAAAAGGTCAGAAATTTTGGCATCTTTCACAAACATTGTTACAATCGTCATCGCCATATCTTCCCTTTCAGAATTCACTGGTGCTTTACCGATTAGTGTCCAGCCCAGGTAAGTTTCTATGGCTACAATACCGCTAGAAAGTACTCTTTTTCTGTCGTTGAAATGTCGACCAGCCATATCTGCACCAATTAAGAGATCAATAGGCCCTGATGAATCTTCAGTGTCATAAAATGGTATATTCATGGACTGGAGATTTTTAATTCATGGCCCATTTAAGGCAGAAGGCATCACAAATTGTATCTTGCTCATAAATATCAAAAGTACAAGTAAAATTATCATCTAAACTCTTTAGCTTAATTTTGTAGACATTATGCACATTTTCAGGAGTTCGTTTTCCTCCGAAAAGGGCGTGGCTCAAAATCTGTTGTCTGGAAGGTATCAGGCCTAGAGTAGAAATTAAGTCCTTCCTTAAATACGATTTTAGCGATCCTGTGTCATATAAAGCTCGAACACAAAGTATACAATTATTTCCAATTAATTTTACTTTCATGATTTGCAAAAGTACTTGTGGTGTGTTGCTAACACTAGAAAGATTTACATAACTTTCTTCCTCGCTAGTTTCTTTTTCATTTCTGTTTAAAATATTCTTCTTAACATTTGTCTTATTTTCAAGCAGTTCTAAACACATAATTACGCTGTGATTTTTATGGCAAATTGCACATTTAATAGAACTCCTGCATTTATTTGCACAGTGACCAGCCTTTAAACAGCGAAAGCAGTGTCCTTTATCCTTTAAGAGTTTTTGCCTCTCTGAAAATGGCATTTTTTTAGCCTTAAAACAATTAAATGAATCATGTTTTCCGCTGCAAAACGCGCACTTCTTAGCGGGAGAATCAGCATTCAACAAATTTGTTGCCGTTGATGGTCGATCGTGAACATTTTTCATAGATTTAACCCCACAGGTCACTTCGTTCTTCAAACCAAACCCAGCCATAGCTAATCTTATGCGTTCTTCGGATTCTACTTCTGATTTAAAAAATTGTAATAAACTGTCCAGTCTACATTTTGGGTTTGGACCAGGGTCAGCATTTGCACTTCTTTGATAGGCTCTTAAAAATTCCTCAGGCAAGCAAGATTAAACTAAAGGATAAAGTAATGCAGCACTTTTATCTGTAGTGACGCCAAGGGTTTCTAGAGCCCGAATTTGTTGTTCCAAATTATCATATAATGCACATAAGTTATTACAGGAATTACTAGAATTTGCATTTATCAGGACCAATTTCAACAATTCTCTCATAAACTTTCACTTTTAAGTCATTTTGACCAAAACGAGCCTTCAAACATTCTAGGACCTTGGGATAATTAGCCAGATGTAGGAGAAAACTTTCTATAACCCCCCTTGCACGTGAACCCTCAACAGTCGTTTGTAATAAATATTGAAATTTATCACTATCAGAAATCGTAGTATCTGTCATTTTTTTTTTAACTGGCTTAAAAAAAAAAAAAAAAAAAAAAAAAACCGTTCCTTAATTTTACCATCAAATTTTCGTAATTCAAGCTTTGGAAGTTTAAATGTACATTTACATACATTCTCATTAACAGATTCATACAAAATTAAATTTGAAGTACTTACATTTTGTAGATTCTAAAGAATATCTTTCACTTTAGTTACGATTCTAACGGCCTTGTCACAATAATCTTCAATAACATCGAATTCTGCTTCAATTTCACTTCCGGACAGTGTGCTAAGATAACGTACGTGCGTATCTTCCAAACGTTGAACTTTCGAAACAAAAACATTAAGCTCCGACTGTAATTCAGAAGAATTTATCTCGCTTTTCTTTAAAATTTCTTCTGAAACATTGAAGGATTTTGTAAAAGCAACTCTATGAATCTTACTTTCAAATTTAATAGCTTCTTTAGCTTCCATTTTTATACTTTAGAATTCCAAACTAACGTCTCTTGGGTCCCGCCGAGGGTACCAACAAAATGTTCACTTACGCATCAAAATAAACTATTACGCTACCAGCGTATCGCGGACTCTAAGAGACTACTAAAAATATTCTAAAGTATTCATTTATTTAAAACATCACTCAGGTATATAACATGTCATTCTTCTTCAATAAGCCTAACTAACTGCAGAAACATATTTTCCTGCTAATTCAATAAATTGTTTTGTTGCCACTCCTAAGAAACTAACAATAATTATTAGTGGCCAAACGACATTAAATAAAAAATTACAGGAAAGTTAACTCTCCCCTTGTATTTGCTTTGATTCCTTCCTACTACATAGTTTTTTACTTCTTTGTACGAAGTAAAAAGGAAGTATTGTAATCGCGAAAAGTTTCAGGCAGCATATTTCAACGAAAATATCCATTTTGACCGCTATCGAATGCATTTTAACGATGTTTTTGCGTGATATCTGTACGTAAGGACAGAATAAAATACTCTTTTCCTTCAAAAAAATTATAAAACTGCTTTAAAATTAATTCTGAAGAGAATTTTTCGTGGCGTCTGTACGAACGTATGTACGTACGTAGGTACGTACGTATCTCGCATAACTCAAAAACGAGTAGCCTCAGAACGTTGAAATTTTGTATATAGAACTGCTATGACATGTAGATGTGCACCTCGTATTTTGGTTGCAATCGGCCGCACCAAACGTATATAAATATGGTGCTACTTTGGTAGACGGTTGCACGGATTTTTGGCGATTTACGTTGGCGCAATTGTTGGCGCGATTTCTACAAACGTCAGCCATCTTGAAAAACGCTGTTTTTACGCATAGTAAAGCATTCGAAACTTAAAAAAAAAAAAAAAATACCTTTAGAAGTAATGGATTAATTTTTTGTTGAAAATGTCGTTTTTTAAGATGGCAGGCAAGTGTAAATAAATACATTTACTACGAGTATAAAATACTAAAAAAAGGTTAAATTATTACTTTCATATAGCACAGAAATAGAATAAAAATACCTCTATAAAAACATTGCGCCAACGTTTAATTGGATTAAAATATTACGTAAATTGAATATCGAATTAAAAACCATCATACCAACGTTTAAAAGAATTAAAATATTACTTAAATTAAATACTTTAAAATAAGTAAATAAGAACGCTTCGTACACTAGAGCTAAAATGACAGCAATTAGTTTATTGTCGGTAAAAAAGGAGGAATGTCTAATAATTTTCTTACCGTTACAGCGGTTATTTCTTCCAACATGACCACAATATCATATACGGCCGTCTCAGAATCGGCTTTTCTAACGATCTTCATCTGTGATCTACATTTTCGCACTTCATTGAAGAAGCAATTAGCGAGGTTTCCTCCAAAAATTTAAAATAAATTTCCTCTGACCCTTGTAAGAATTTATAAATAAATCTTTGATTAGGAAAGCCAGGCTAGCGAAAATAAGGTCTCAAAAGACAATTTTTTGATTCCGAAACCAAAAATTCTTGGTACTTATCAAAAACAACATTCATCTTTGAAGGAGACATTTTTGAAGAAATTCGAAGATATGAATTAAATTTTAAAATGGCGTGGTAATGCAAAAATTTTCAGCAACCTATCAGGGAGCTGATTACAGCTCATTAATGCACAAATATTCTATAACCAATCAGAGAGCTGTTTACATCATGTCTAGAATTAAAATTATTTAAATAATCATACATAATAAAATCATTTTAAAAAAGAAAACGCAAAATTAAATTGTATTTTAATATTTAACAGCCATAAATAATGTTTAAAACATTAGATTAAATTTATAGATATTAAAACCAATTACTTTTAAAGTAAGGTGACGTCACTGATTACATCATCCACAGCATAAAATTTCATAAAATATGATAAAGAATAAAAATTTTTATTTCAAATAAAAATGCAAAAATTAAATTGATTTTTAATATTTAGAAGCCATAAATAATATTTAAAAAAACGGAATTTATGCATAATAACACGCATTATTTTTTAAATAAAATGTCAACAAAGTATCGGTTACCATAAATAACTTATCCAACAATGGGTTTACCATAAGTCGAATTACTCGCCAAAAGAAAATTGCCAAAAAACTCGCCAAAATCCGTGCAACCGTCTACCAAAGTAGCACCATAATATATTTATATATATCCACTCTGTTACCCGATAAATATATTTATATATATATCCACTCTGTTACCCGATAAATATATATTTATATATATATCCACTCTGTTACCCGGCTCAGTGATCTCAGTTTTCTTTACTCTTATATGTTGGTAAATTGTACATTTTTTGCTTTAAAAATGATTGAATTATGTTGTTTTTATCTTCCGGTTAAGGATTTTATGCCTTTAGTAAATCTGTGTGCAATATTTTTAGAATTATCAGCAATTTTAAAGTTGTTTAATTGCCGCTAAGCCTTTTTTAATGGCGGCCATTGATGTTTACATTTGAAAACAGGAGACTAGTGGATTTGTTGCCAATCTAGAGAAACTTAGCTTCGCAACAACAAAGATAACGCATTCATTTATTATTGCCAATTAAATCATGCTTAATTTTTTCTGGAATTTTCTCGAGGAAATAAGCGTTTGAGATTTACTTCGTAATTTTTAATATAGATATTTTGAGTTTTTATGTATTTTTGCCTTCTCGCGAAGTGAGAGAACTGAATTAATTCAATGAGAAATACTCAATCGTCTGTGAAAAAATGAAAAACTGTTTCTTTTTTGTTTTGTTTGCTTAATTTCTTTTATACATCATTCTAGCTTTATTATAGTATTTGAATAGAACATGTGGCAACGATAAGATAATTCTATTCTTTAAATGATATAAATTTTGTGCATTTTGAGTTATAATATGAACGAAATATATACGTTAATTGTTCTATAATTATTGGATTATATAACAGTTAACTTAGTTTCCGTTATATTATTATTATATAAGTTAACTGTTATATAATTATTAATACTGTTAAGTGAATCTAGCGCCAGAGTGTCGCTATGGTAAACAAATACTAGAGTAAATTTTAAAAAATGCATTTATTCTATTGTGGTTTATGCGCTGTCGGCGAAGTAGATTTAATTAATCCAATAAGTTTAAATGAAATGCAAGAAAAAATGCGTATAATTTAATATTCCAATACAAGGAAGTCGTGTGGTGTACACATCAGATTGTTTTATTAATAAACATTCAATTATCAGTTTATTAATGCTTTTTCTTAATTAATGATATCTTTATGCCGATCAATTGCTGTTGCATATTCGGCTGTTGATATCTTGATCACCAATGACCTTCTTTAAAATTTCATGGATCCTCAGGGGTTCAATATTGACCCCTCTGGGAGCATCTGTTCTAAAGAATATTTCTATAGTTGCCTAGCAAACTAACTTTTCTCCTTTTGTGGCACTTTTAACTGACGTCATACACCGGAAACTGAGCTGGGATTGTGTGATTTGTTTTTTTAAACATATCCCGAAATCAAAGAATATTTGCACGTTCTTTGTCTGAAATTTGCGTAAAAATAAGCATTGTATTGTATTATAGTGTGAAATAGTCATATTGGAGCAGCGTGTTTTAGGTCCTTTACGGAATCCTTCGATATTTAATTAAGTATTACGAAACACGCGTAGCTGTTTCGCAAAAGGACTTTCTGAAGAAAACCAACTAGTGTCAGATTACCAGTAATAAAAAGTCTAATACATTCTGTCTATTGCTAAATACTTGAATTGCCACGTCTCGGGGAACTTTAGCATAACAGCACGTCTACTATGTTTTAGGACTAAGTTCGTACAAAACAATTATTTTTACTTCTTGATCTTTAATATATTATTATTATAAGTTCTTAAAACACTAGGCCCGTTATAGTGGCTTGATTCGTTCTTAAAACACTAGGCCCGTTCATACAGTTGGCTTGATTCGTTCTTAAAACACTAGGCCCGTTCATACAGTTGGCTTGATTCGTTCTTAGAACTTAGCTTTTGGAATACTGTTTTAAGTCTCTGCTTATACTTTTCTGAATG